CTGATTAATATAAATGGATACAATTTGTAAGTGAGGTATGGAGGTATGTAGATATTTGTAAGAGACGTTGAGGAAAATCAAGAGGGTATGTTCAAAAAGGAAAAATGGTATGGAGAATCAAGATAATGCAGAAGCCAAGAGAGAAGAGACTGTAAAAGAGAAATGCTCAACAGTAAGTATCACAAATAGTTGCAGAGATCAAGAAAAGACCACTGGATTTAGTATTTAGCAAGTCTCTAGTGACCTTTAAGAAAGAAGGTTCAGTGAGGTGTCAGAGTACAAATGGGATTGGAAGGAGAAACCAAGTATAGAAAATCAGCATAGATTATTTTTTTCAAGAAGTTTGGTAGTATAAAAAAGGAGATGGATGGGATTGTAACTTGTTTTTTCTTTCTTTTTAAGGATAGAGAGACCTGAGTATATGTAGCCCCAAGGAAAGGAACATTTACAAAGTGGAATCCTGAATATGCAAGACTAGGAGATGTAACTGACAGGAAAGGATCCCAGTGAGATAGGAGTCAATGGGGGTAAACCACAAGGCTCTCTAATATTAATTATATAATTAGATTATACAATTTCTCGGCACTGCTGTCTTCCTGCCTATCCCGTGCAGTAACTTGCACACCACAGGCACTAAAGTTTTAAACTAATTTTTAAAAAAAATCATTAGTCTTTTTGGATGCAGCAGCACACTGAGTCAATAATTTTGGAATTCAATTAAGCACTGTCAGACATTCCTGCCAAAATTTATTAAAAAACAATTTTTACCTAATTCTAAAATGAGAAAAACAAGGAGCAACAAATGCTATTGTTTGTTTAACTTCTTATACCAGATATTGTTCAAATGACTTACAATGAGATATGATTTCTATAAACAGGTAAAAATTTTTTCCCACATTACAGAAACCTTTAATTGCTAGGTGTCTGACCTTACTGTCTAGTAAGATTCAGGCAATGAATCCATGTGTACAAACCAACCTATTTAATTTGAAATCATAAAAGCTTTTGGCTTCCACAGTTCAAAGATCTGTGTGTGTGAAACAAGATATATAGTGCTACATAACGATGTGCTTATTTAAATCATTCCAACTACTAAGTAGTACAAGGTAAGCGAAAGGGGCCTGGTAAAGCTAGAAAACTGAAAATCCTGTGGTCCGCTATTGAAGTAAACTCTAAAAGATCTGTCTAAAGAGTCCTGATATGCCTATGTACATCTCTGAAATCACTTTCTGGTTCAACACAGTTGTTATCAGTCAATCTGTACTTAAAATCACTCAATCTTTTTGTAACACACTAATCCAGAGTCAATAGGCAAAACTCTTGTTAAATCAGATGAGTCCAAGATGCTAGGAGGTTCTTTTAACACTTCTTTTTCCTCAATTTTCAATTCTATTTCAGATATGCCATCTTCATCTTGCCCAGTTAAGACTGATTTCAGAGGGCTAACTAGACCATCTAAAAATAATTTTTAAAATGTGATTAATATGTTTCTAATGCATTTCAGAGTCTCAGTCATTACCTACTTGTCCCAGCAATGCATTTTCAGGTTTCTCAAACATCATGCATTCTTCAAATTACACACTTGTAAATTTTGGAATATATGAAGAAAACTTTCCAAACTGTATTCAACGTATTCTTGATGGTGGGGAGGTGGAGAAAGCATGCATTCCCTAAAGCTGTTCAGCCACCTCTAATAAACATAAAAATATCCCATCTAGAGATGAGCTGGGAGGATACCTTACTCAGGAGAGTGTTCCTCCTCCTCCCCCGTTGTAGTTGTGGATGAAGAAACAACTGGCCTTATTTTGCACCTATTAGTTCTGATCTTCTGTGATAAGGAGGGGCCTACCAGAGGCCTGCTGACTTTGTCTTTTCTGTGATCTGCCCTACTCTTAAATCTACTATAACAATTTATATGTTGTTTTAAAATTGTAAAATAATTCTATTAGATTATAACTGTCCAAATGTTTTATAAACATTAATCTCACAACTGGCTTAGAAGTAGGAAAGACAACGAATTAATTTAAGATATTTTGTTATGATTCAGAAAGAGCATAAAGGTCAATTTTGGGACTAAATTTTTAAAGAAAACTTTCTTAGACCTTACACTTCAAAATGTTCAGAAAATTCCTAAGTAAGTGTTACTTATCAATCTTTTAAATTCCTTTATGGTCCAATAAATCATCACTTAGAAAACATGCAAGCATATTCAGAAGCACAATAATACGGGCTATTAATTTTCAACAGCCGACTTCTGACGGAAAAACGTACAAAATTCAATTGGTATTTATGTCAGGGAAGACATCTGTAATTTAGCCGACTCTTTCTTAAACTGTTCATCAGCCTCAAATTCTTTTTGGAAGCAAGCTGCTAAAGAAAATTAAATAATGAGAAAAACCCATCTCTTGTCTCTGTCGAGGCACAAAAGCTAATTGACAGCAACGGTTGCTAAATCTTGGCAGTTAGCATCTACTACAGTAAACAGGTTGCCTCGGTTACTCTATCATATTTTAAAGGACTTAGTGAACCATGGCAGACGGGGCTGAGAGGGAAACTACCAAATTAGGTGTACCTTCTTTTTGTACCAAAAAGACTCCCTTTAACGAAGAAGCCCACAACCTCATTATTTCCTTCTATCTGCAGCACACCTGGCCTCCACAGATCGTTCACCGTGAGGTCCCCAAAGTTTGTGGAGATGCCTTCCCCCATCCTACACCCGTTTTACCCGCTATACGGGTTCCTCCTTCCTCCCCCCATTTCTCTAAAACTGCCTTTCTCCATAAAAACCATCCCAGGGGAGAAGGGCCTCCCCTACTCCCCAGCAAGGCGCACTTTCTCGCTTCTCCTGCGGCAGACAGAACTGGGCCTCCTGCACTTACTGCTTTCAGCCTCATCAGGGGCAGAGGCTAGGGACGGGGACAGGGTCGGAGCCTGGGCCAGGGCAGGGGCTGGGACTGGAGCCGAGGCCGGAGTCGGGGCCGAGGCCGGAGCCGAATCCGGGGCCGGAGCTGGGACCCGAGCCGAGTCCGGGGCCGGGGTCGGGACCTGGACCTGGGCCACTTCCACCTCCTCCTCCTCCTCCTTCTCCTGGGGTAGCAGCTCCTCCTCCGCCATATTCTCCATAGTTACCGCCTCCGTGCCAGGCCCGACCGGGGACCAGGAGGGGCTCACGGCGGGGTGAGACAACTGGCGTGAAAGCCCAGAGGGCCGGATCCGAGGAGTGGGGAAGCAAATGGGGAGGGCGGGATGCGTGCAACAGACAAAAGACGAAGAACCAGTGACCAAATCCAGTCAGCAGAAAAATAAAAAGCAACAGACAGCCATTCTCAGTCCCATCCGCTTCCTTTGCCCCGAGACGTTACGACGCCAGCCCAGACTGCGCAGGAGCGGGCTGGGGACGGCGTCCAATGAGGTCAGAGAGTTCCGTTTCCGCGGTGCGTCTCCGTCCCAGGAGTCAACCACGGAATCCAGCCCAAACTACAATACCCAGGGTGCACCGCGCCGCACGGGGTGGGGCGGAGCCGGAGTTCCAAGTTCGCAGAGGAAGTGAACGCAAAGCTAAACGAACGCTCGGGAGCGTTCGAGCGGAACCCTGCCTCCGAGCGCAGAACTACATTTCCCAGCGGGCAGCGAGGCTCGGGTTTCCTTTCCCTTGGCCTGGGCGTCCTGAGTCGCCGCCGGCGCGAGCGCTGGTGAATAAGGTAGGGAGCCGGGGCGGGGTGTGGGGGGAATCGTTGACTTTACGCTAGGCAGGCTCCGCGCCTCACTCCGGTACCGTAGCGGGCGGCCGACGGGACGGACGGAGGATTCCGGGTCCCTTCGAGCCTGGGCTGGGCGACTCTGGGGGCGGACCCGGGGTTGAGCCTGATCTGTGGAGGGTGGGGTTCTGGCCCGGCCCTTCCTCTGGGGCTGCCCCTCGCCCCGGCTAGGGTGAAGTCTATTAGTACGCGAGCCCGTGGGCCTAGGCGGTTTACAGGACGCTGACAGGCTCGCCTGTCAGTCAGGTGGACTTCGAGTTGGGGGTCTGCTCCTCATTTCGCACCTTCACGCACACCGTGACCCGAACACTCTTTTCCTTTTGTTTTTATTTTAGCCCTAACCTACGTATTCCCAGTATCAGCGCTGCGCCGTGGCTGTAAGATTCCTGTGGATAGGGAATTTGGCGGGGTGGGGGCGGGGGGAGTGCCCTGTGCTTATATTTAGGCTGTTAATACCCAAAGCTCGTTACTATGTTGAGCTTCGGGGCACTTGACTGATGCGATTCACATTCCTCAAGGCGTATGCAAGTGAGTTCCCCGGCCCCCGTACTTCTCTTGCCTTTACTCTCTGAGCCTGCTTGAGCTTAAGCCGCGCTCCTTCAAGCCCGCTGGGGTGGGCAAGGGGAAATTTTTTGAGTTTTCTGGCTACTCTGCCTGGGACTGGTCCGAATGTTACAGGCAGCAGGGCAGGAGAGGGAAACTCTTTTTAGTCTCAGGTTCTCGCACTTCAGTTCGGTTTTCCTAGTTAATAAAGCTGATACTTAATGTTTATCTCATTGATCTGTTTATTTTCTATTTGTTTCAGCCCGCAGGGGAGAGCGAGTGTGATTATTTGGCAATTTGAAACTCAAAACAAGAATCTGGTCCTCCCTCCAACCCCCCAGTACCTAGGGAGTATATTTGGAGGGGTTTTCCCCCCTACTCCCCAATTTAATGGAAACACAATTTATCCCCTGGAAGTTTTCGTGAATTATAGTTTGAAAGCCCTCTTCGTGGCCCCATCCCCAAGTTTTAACTATTATTCCTGGATGCATGCTGCCTCACTGCTCGTAACAGTTGATTAAAAAATGGCATAATAACACATTATAACTTACAGACATGAGTAGTGGATATTTGCACATAATCCAAGAACCAGTGATTTTTTAATTTCTAAAAGACTAGGTGGTTCATTGAAAGCTTGATTCGGTATGTCAATCTCATTAATACCAGCTGGAAACCAGAAAATGAAATGGGTTAGATTTTAGCCTGTGCATTCTATGGGAATTTTAATTTTTTAAGCATGGTCCCTGCTCTTGAGACATCCTGAAGAAGGTATCTTCAAAGTTTGGAAGAATCATATTAAGTGAGTATATTACTTATCTGTTGCTGCCTAAGTTATCTCAAAACTTAGTGGCATAAAACAACAAAAACATTTATTACCTCACAGTTTGTATGGGTCAGGAATTCAGAAATGGCTTTCTGGGTGTATCTGGCACTGGGTCTCATGAGACTGCAGTGAAGATACCTACCAGGGATGCTGCCATGTGAAGGCTTGCTTAGGGCTGCAGGATCAGCTTCAGAGGTGGCTCATTCACATGCCTGCAGTCAATTCATTTTTGGCAAGAGGTCTCAGTTCTTCCTTGGTGGCCTTCTCTTTGGGTTACTTGAATGTCCTCATGATATGGTGGTTGGCTTTCCCTAGAGTGAACAATTCAAGATAGAGTAAGGCAGAAGCCACAATGTCATTAGACCTAGCCACATACTACCATATAGCAATATCCTGTTGGTTACGTGGGTTGTCTCTATTTATTGTGAGAGGGGGCTACATAAGACTGTAATTACCAGGTAGCAGAGATCATCAGGAGCCATTTTGGAGACTGGCCGGCATAGGAAGTCTCCCCTCAGTTTGTATTCTGATTTCCATAGAATCAATATGAATTTCACACTAATATGAGTATAAAACATTTGTCATAGTACACATATGGGTGTTTTTCCTTTGATAGTCCACTATCTGCGGTGTTTTTTTTCAATTTGTCTTATGGGTAACAGGTTCAATTGTGGTTTTTTTGTATTCACAGCACAATGTGAATGGGTTTAAATTGTAAAAGGTAACATAACCAGTCCATTGCCTCTAAGCAGTTCATCTCATGGAAGTTATTATTTTTCATTATGCCTTCCCCCGCTTCACCCCCCTCAAGCCCCCCATGGAATGGGATCCTTGGAACAAGAAAGAGAAATGAAGATTATTCTTCTAATCTGAAAGCTCAACTGTGAATTCAGTTACTGCCATAAATTATCTTACAAAGCAAAATTTCTGGGTAATTTAGAATTTGTTCTTAGAAGTTTATGTTGGCTACTCTTATTAATTTTTATTATTATTAGATCTCTGTTAGCAGCATTTTTATTCTTTCTTCCATAATCATCAAAACATTCTAAAAGTTTGATTTAGCGTAATTGATCATTCTTTTATAGAACTTCACTTAGTGTGATCATGATTGACCAGGAGTAGTTGCAACTGCTTGGTTTCTAGTCTTTGTTATGTTCATAGCGTCAATACATATCACTGCCAGCAATAAACTCTCCTTTGGACTTTGCTTCTGGACCCCTTTTACATCCTCTTGCCCCAGCAAACCTGGTGATATTCCTAGTCTCTGGCCTCTACGTTCCAGTACAGGATGATTGTATACACTATCTTGAGAGTGTTTATGACCATAAGGAATGACTATGTTTGTGTGTTTGTTTGTTTGTTTTCCTATCAGTAACTAACAGTATAGACTTGATCCAGAGCAGGGCTGGAAAAGTGAGACTGGGATGGGAAGTGGACAGAGGGACTGGATCAGCAAGAGTTGTAAGTGGCTCAGAATGAACAATGAATATTCTGGGGAAGAAAAATTCACTCATTTATTCACTCAGCAGGCATTTGTGAACACCTCAGTTTTCAATACAGCATATTCTTCAAGAAGCTCAGGGTCTAGAAGAAAGACAACCACGTAAGCCGGTATTTGTTAGGACCCTACTGTGTACTATCCTGTACAAGGTATTTTTACATCCATAGTTTCATCTGAGTTCTTCAAAAACCTTCTCGGATGAGTTATCTCTATTTTACGTATAATGAAACTAGGGCTCAAAAAATGTATGTATTTTGCTTGAAGTCTCACTCTGAGTGACGGAGGGTGTGTTGGGAAAATGAAGACTTTTGACTAGTTGGTTTTGAGGTATATATAGGTGGGGCAAAATACAGCAGTCTGGCAGGCAGTTGAAAATGGTGTTGTGATGCTTGAGAGAGAAGTCCAGGCTAAAGGCATAGTTTTGAGAGTCATTCCTAAAAAGGTAATAGGTGAAGCTGAAGGAGGGGAACAGATCATTATGAGGGAGAATATAAGTAAAATAAAGTGGAACAATGAGAGAATCCTGTCACCTTGAGAATGGGTAAATATGGAAATTATTTTGTAAAACTCCAGTCTTTAAGGAACTGAAAAAAATAATTTCTAATGTTTTTGTTGTGGCAGTGGTAAAACATAATGTGCTTTTGATATTTATTTTAGCTTTTCAAAATGTCCAGCAAAGAATCTTATGGAAAAAAAGAGAAATCTCGGAGAAAAGGCACCGCCCCATCACCCAATGTTGATGAAGAAGTAAGAATTCTGGTTTGTTGCCCTAAAGATACCCTTTTTTACAGTTTATTTTTGTGTAATGAAAAAAATAGACCTCAGTTTTAAAATGAGATATGTAAATACTTTGTTCTTCCCTTCTGACCCAGGAAAAGTCACTTGTTATTCTCATTCTTTACTTGCATTATTTTATTTATTCCTCACAGCTCTATGAGGTAGGTACTGTTTTTATCCCAATTATACAGATGAAGAAACTGAGGCTTGGCGGTGTCCTTTGTGCTTCCTTCTCATCTTCTTAAACTATTATCTTTCAAGTGCCTAGCCTCAGTTCTCCCAGCGTAGTAAACTTCAATAACATTCTTTCAGTTGCTTGGGCCAGAACCCTGGTCATCATGCTCTACTTGCATCCTATCTATCAGCAAATTCTAACAGCAGAGTCTGACTGCCGCCTCTACTTCTATCACCATGATCCAGGCAATCAACTTGCTTTCCTAGGTTATTTCAGTAGTTTCTAAATTGATCTCCCTGCTTCCACCTTTGCCTTCTTGTGTTCTTGACATAACAGCAGAGTGATCCTATTAAAATGTAAGATATGTCACTCCTCTGCTCAATATTTTCTCATGATTTTCCACTTCAGAGAAAAAGCTGAAGTCCTTGCTGGGGCTGACAAAGTGAACTACTCTCCCCATCTCATCCATTACATTCTCTCTTTGCTTTCTCTACTTCTTGGCTTCCTTGTTGTTCCAATAAGCCAGGCACATTCCTGCCTCAGGGACTTTGTGCTTGCTGTTACTCCCTTTGAATTGAAAAATTTTCCCTAGATATCCACAGGGTTTGTTCCTTCATTTCTTTAGGTCTCTATTCAGATGTCAACTTACCAATGGGGCCATTTTTGACTACTCTGTTTAAAATTGCAACTGCCTCACCCTTGCCTGTCAGCCCTTCCTCACCCCTTTCTCTGCTTTATTTTTTTTCCATAGCATCATCTGACACACTAAATATATTATTTGCTTATTTGTAAATACCTGCACTAGTTTTTAACCTCCACGAGGGCAGGGACTTTTATTGTTTTTTCATTAATCTGTCCTCACTGTCTAGAAGAATGTCTTTGATACATGGTAGGTACTCAAAATATGTTTGTCCTGGGTCTATTGAATTCAGGATCCACTGAAAAATAACTGGATATATGGTTTTGCTTTGTAGAAGATGGAATTCCACCATGGCAGTGCCACTTCTCAGTGTCCTTGTCTGAGTCGTCTGCAGCCTTCTGCTGTAGCGCCTGTATCCCATCTCATCCCTAGTCCAAGAGCACCTACATCTTCTGATTTCTAGTTGGGTCTTTCTTCCTCTTACCAATGTTTGAATGCCCTTAAACATTGTTCTCCTCTGAAATTTATTATTAATGTAGAAAGAATCTTGATTTATAGTAAGTGATGAAATAATGCTCTCTTATGCTGTGCTTTATTTTGTGCTTTTCTTTCCTTTTTTCCAAATGGCATTATTAGGATAAGAAAGAGGAAAAAACCTCAGCAAATTCTACTAGTTCAGCTTGTTCTGTAATATCAGTTTCAACAGAGAAGAGAAAACTGGTGAGTGTTTAGCTACTGTAACTAACTCTAAAAATTACTTATATTTAAGTTTTAATGTGCAGTTAGAAGGTTTATGATATAAATTCCCCCACTACTTTTCCATTAATTTTTTTCTTTATATTATTCTTACTTTTTTGATAGCTGATAGACAGAAAACGAGTTTTTTCTTTCTGCTGCTCACTAAAAAGCGTTTATCAAGGTCTTTGTTTCTTTGTGCTAATAGACCCTATTATGAGGGATTAGACAGCATGAATATAAATTTAGACAGTTTTTAGGTCTTTCCCCATATATGGTTATATTTATCTTTACAATTTCATTTTGAGATAGCCAAGGCACATACAGTGTTTGCATTTTCAGATTCAGAAATAGAGATCCAGAAAGTTAAGTGATTTGTCAAAGGACACAAAATTATTTGCAGCAACAGAGCCAAGTCCAGATTTCTTTCCACTGTCTCACAAGTAATTTGAAACAGTGACAGCAGACCAAACACATTAACCTAGTACATGAGTGGTTGTGAAGTACTCATCATATTCAAGTGGGAGTTAGGTGTATATCAGGATAGCTACACAGTTGTAGGTAATAAGAGAAGGTAGTTGTGAAAGTTGTGAAAGTTCCATGAATGCAGAATTGGGTTTTTAAGAATTTGTTTTCACATAATGAAACTGCTGTTGCAATTTATTCTTGCTTTATTAAACTTCTTAAAACACTGATTTTATCATATTTCTCCTCTGTTGAAAAATCTTCATTTACTTTTTTAGTTTATCATTTAGGACCCTCTTAAATTTGGTCACACCTTAACTATCCAGTTTTCTTTTTTCTTCTTCCTCAGAACAGTCCTGCTTCTAGCGAGGCACGTTTATTTTCTCTCTGCTGAATTTACACCAGTAGCCTCCAGCTTCTTAGAATGCCTAAGCATTTTTAACTGAGAGTGCCTTTTTCTTTTACCCATTAATCTTTATTCAATATATGTTCAATATTTAGCATATTTTTTGTCTACCTTTTTTTCCTAGGTACATTCCAACTTTTGGTGTTTGAGGTTTTGAACTCTTTTTACAACTTACTGGTTATTGTCCTGCTTTGATACTTATGTCCTTTATCCTTTCTACTTTATCCTTTTACTGTACTCTTAACTCCTTAGGACAGGGACTATACCCTCTTTCTCTATTATTTTTCTTGTGCCTAGCTCTTGTCCCCAGAATACACAGAGAGACAGGGTGGTAGAATAGAGAGGGTAGACAGATCTGGTTTCAGATCACGGCTCTGCTACTAACTTGCTCTGTGATGTTTAGGATATTTTTGCTCTGTTTGAGCCTTGGGTACTTTATCTGTAAAATGGAGATGATAATAATAGCTGTCTCACAAGATTATTGGAAAGATTTATTAAATTATTTTGTCAACCTATTCACTAACACATAGGTGTGGGAAAAATACCATCTCCCAATCTCCTTCCCCAGTGCACAATTTATATTTCCTAAATTATATCTTTTTTCTTTCAGAAATCAGATCATACAGATATTCTGTATTGTAGTGTAAAAAGAAGACAAGAACTGAAAAAGTAAGTTTTCTCTTTTTCTTGATATATTTTCACTTTTTTTTAGCTTTGAATTGTGAGACTAAATACTTAGATTTGCAAAATCCTTTATTTTGTTTAGTACTGTTTTGCATGCAAATATTTATAGCTAAATCACAGATTATGGTTAATTTTCTTAATATTTGTATAAATTTAAGAAAAAGTTGAGTGAAATGAAAAGTCTATCAGAATTCTATGCTATGTAAATACTACTTTCAAATAAAATGTAAATTTTTATTTCAAATAATTTGATTTTGACATACCCTTATAAGATCTATAACTTCATTATATATAGTAATGGGAGAGGTTATGAGGCTGATTTAATAATTTTGGATAAATTATCTTTGCATATTACCCATGAAGAGAATATGTAATGTATTGAATTGGTAAGGGTCTAAAACCACGTTAATTAAAAACAGGTTATGGCTACAACTAGAGAACTTGGGAAATAGTGTTAGAAATAATGGAGATTATTTCTCCTTACTTTTCTGTGTTCTTTGGATAAAAAATTCAGAGAATTTTGTGGTGAAGGAATTCTTGCCACTAATGGGGGTAAATAAGTATAAAAAGTATAATGCATGATAAAAGTTGGTAAGATCAAAGTTTCTCTGAAAATAAGGAGTTACAGGAAAACAATTAAAGTGGCATTAAATCTATGAATAAAACTTCTGCTTCCCTGACAAGCTCAGTTAATGTTTGCTAAAATCAAAATATCCAGCTTACCTCTGACTCTTTTTCAGTTTTTCTTTTGAATCATCTCCTTTTTTTTTGTGAATCTTTGTCTCTATATTATTATCTGTTGAAGTATACTCTGTCACAAATTTCATGTTATATTGAATATCGCTTTCTAAATTTTTCAGATTTTTAATGCCTTTTGTACTAGTATCTGGTTTTTTAAAAAAATTTAAGTTTGAAACACTGCCTGATTTTTCACTAGTTACCTTTTGCTTAAGAACACATTTTCTAGCCTTGATTCTATATCTATGTGTAAGAGTGTAAATGGAGTTCTGATCTATATACTCAACCCCCTTGGACTTATTCATATAGTCTCTGGGAAGAGGAAAAAATAATGTTGAATTATTTTGAGAATAGGATCAAAATTATTCTAAGGATGCAATGAAGTTCAACTTGGCGTCAGTATTTACTCAAAATCTGCTACTTGGCTTCAGCCCTTGCATCACTGAATAGTTGAATGTCTTATTCAATGACATTTCTGTATCTCTGAACCCAAGTGTGATCAATGACCATGCTATTGTGTGAGTTATTACCATATCTAATCAGGGTAACAATATCAGTAACATGAACAGTGCAAAGCATCTAGATTTATTGTTAATCTCTGATTATTTCAGATGTTGGTGAGTAGTTTAGATGTAACTCGTAGTGAAATTTTCTTTTGTCAAAGACAAAAGTATACAGCATACAATATACTTCAGAATGACCTTGTCGTGCATTTAAACAATGTGATATATATTTGAAACGTTGATTGGACAAAAGAAAGCTGTAATACCGTGCTTAGTAGATATCAATATCAGTAATGTGGGATTTCTCATGACCATTGGTTGCTTGCAGAGAAAATGATTCATTTGAGGTTGTTGTTTACTTCCTGGAGTAGTAAACAGACTTATTTGCCTTAAGGTTATAAATATTTCTTTATGATACATGGCATCCTCCAAAAAGATCTCCCTATTCAACTACAGGAAAGGTCCTGAAATTGATGTGCAAACATTAAAAGCTGAGATGTAGGTGGAAAATCAGAGAGAATTTTGTCATGCTGAAAGCCAGTTACATTGTATTGTTACCACAATTCCAGATTCTTGGTTGAATTTATTAACAATAAAAATATAAGCAAAGGCAGCAGTCTTTTGAAAATATTCAGAAAGCATTTCATCAGGTTGCACACAGTTTGTGGGGTTTCTTCAATAAAAATTGCATCATAACCATTGGCCAAATCTTTAAGTCTAGGAGTTGAAAAGGAGATAAGTTTTATCTCAGTTAATATTAGAGAGATGGTACTATTGCCATCAGCAGTACCCATTATTGGCAGAATTAACCAAAAAGTACTTTATTCTTCATTTGACCTAAGTTGAAAGTAAGTATGTGATTTAATATTCTAAATGTGCATTATGATGGCTAATAGAGTAACCTAGCCACTGGTAATGTTGAGCAATTATTTTTCTTGCTGTATATCATGTTTTAAAACATTGGTTACTAAATTTTGGGACTTCCCTGGTGGTTCAGTGGTTAAAACTCCATGCTTCCACTGCAGGGGACATGGGTTCGATCCCTGGTCTGGGAACTAAGACCCCACATGCTGCGTGGCACGGCCAAAAAAATTAAAACCTTGGTTACTAAATTTTAAAATAATCTAATTATAACAATTAAATTTTTGACAAGATTTCACATTTATTTTTGTATCACAAGAGTTCAATCTAGGATGGTGATATTTAGCTTCAGCTGATATTGAGTTTATGCTTAAGTCATTCATAAAAAATAAGTATTTGCTATATGTCTAACATGTCTAAAAAGATCTCAGAACTTTAGTATTTTGGGTTGCAAATATACAATTACATTATCACAATATAGCATTTTGCAAAACTAGTTGATAAGAGGTAACTTCTAAGATTTAATTTTGTTGGTCTTTTAAAAGGTATTATAATGCTGAGTTTTTATTAATTATGACCATATGGACCATGGTGCATAGATTGCTGTGAAATACGCAGTACAGGGCTGTTGTGAAGAAAAAAATAAAATAGTAATTTTTTGTTTTTGTTTTTGGTTTTGGTTTTTGCGGTACGCGGGCCTCTCACTGCTGTGGCCTCTCCCGTTGCGGAGCACAGGCTCCGGACACGCAGGCTCAGCGGCCATGGCTCACGAGCCCAGCCGCTCTGCGGCATGTGGGATCTTCCCGGACTGGGGCACGAACCCGTGTACCCTGCATCGGCAGGCGGACTCTCAACCACTGCGCCACCAGGGAAGCCCTTAGTACTTTTTGTTGAGCTATTTATTTACTAAGGCTAATAAGCTGTCACATATGTAGTAAATACCATTTCCAAGTTCTTTTAATTTTATTATTTTTTAATATGCTAAAGTTTTAAAGTAAATAGTCATTTATGTTTACTGTTTTCCTTTGTGATTTTTCCCACTGCTATTAAGTTTAGGAAGTTCTCTATTAAGAAATCAGATAAATACTCCCTTTTTCCCCTATGGTTTTTAAGTATTTAATATGAAGTAGAGCAGTTATGGAAATAATAATTATTTTGCACTTAAATGTTTAATCTGTTTGAAATTATACCATCTGGTATTATATAAAGCTGTACGTTTGTGGGGTTTTTTCCAAATAGCAAACCAGTTATTCCAATAACCGTTTGTTGAGTAATCCTTTCCACTTCATTCTTAATGTAGCCATTTCTTACTTTTTATGAAGTTCCTATCAGGCCAGTTCTTTCACTTCCTCACTAAAATGATACAGTGCAATATTACATATTATCAGGTACAATTGTAATGTAACCTAGTTTTCTGTGCTGCTTTACAGACTGAATGTAGAAACTGACACTCCAAGAAAGAGACCAAAAATTAGTTCTTCATCCCAAGGACTTGTTAAACTCCAAGAAACATCATACTCAAATGATAACCAAATTATTTCTCAGAGTCCTTCTTCAAATGGAACTAAAAAAGGTATAAGTAAATGTGTAGATTTTAAAGTTAAAGATATTAAATTGACAAATGTTAAGAGTGAGCTGGACCACGGAATTAAAAACTTTAGCAGTCCTAAGATTGCCAAAGATGTGAGACCTAAAGCTGAAGGCCAGGCAAGTGAAAAAAAATGGCCTCATTTACTTGCTCAGAGGGAGAAGATGAAGGAACTCAAGGAAGAAAGGTACAATAAATTTAGAGACAGTTCTGAAAAATATGTTTTGGAGAAATGCAAGAGAATCCAATTTTCTGAGGATTATAAGTCCAACAAGATAATTAAGGAACCCCTCGAATCTAGAAGAAGAAAGATCAATTTCAAAATCCTAGGAGAATCCCGTGAAACCCTTCAGAAGCTTGTAGAAGAAGATGTCTTCAGTTTAGATTCTAACACGTTAAAGACTAAGCAGGAGAAAAAAGAATGCCTGGAAGGCTCCCAGGTTTCGTTAAATTTGACAAGGCACAAAAGTGAACATTTATTTTCAGATTCCACGTATAAGCAGACTGTTCGTGAGTGGGAAGGAAAATATCATGAGCATCAAAGAAGTAATGATTCAAGTTCTAGTGAAAACCTAACCAAGGTAAGGTAGTGCAAAATGAATATAGGCTTTAGCAAAGAGTTTTAATGTACTTAGGTTTGTGTTGTTTCTATTATAGATAATGATCATAGAGAGCTGATTCTATTTAGTCAGGAAGATAATGTTGATTCTTTTATTTTACCACGATAATTCCAGCTTCCTTAGGAGGCTATCCTGGCAAGTATCAAGGATCCAAAATACGAGGGAATGTGTAAAAATATAGAAAGAAGCCATTATAGATCGTTCTATCAGAAAAGCACTGTGGCAGTCTTAGGCTCTTCTCTAACTCCAGGAACTATAGAACATCCAGGGGTTATTATTCCAAACAGCTATTCGTTTAACAAATTTTTCTTTGAATGCCCTATATGCCAGGCACCACAATCACTGTCTTTGTTTTCAGAGACTTACTTAATATGAGGAGACACAGAAACAGCCACCTCAGGTCTGAGCAGTACTTATCACCTAATATGGGAATACACAGCAGAGGATTAACATGGCCTTGGTGCACCGTGGAGGGATTAATTCAGGAAGGTTTACTGGAGGGGATAACAAGTAAACTGAGAACTGAGGATTGAATAGGAGTTATTCAGGTGCAGACAAGATGGAGTGAGATGGGAGAAGCAGGGATGTTCCAGGCAAAGGGAACTATGTGTACAGAGGTCCAGGCTAGAAAGCTTGGCATATCTTGTTTTGCTTCTAAATTATGTAATAAGTCAGCATTTGTGGACTAATTTGAGAACCTAATTGCTGCAGCCTTGTTTCTATGGCAAATAAAATTATTTATTGATACCTTTAAGACAACTTTTAGAACTTTGGAACTTCAGAAGTTCTGAAATTTAGAGACTGCTTAAAAACAGGTGGTGGTGGAGCCTACCTACTTTTAGGAATCAAGACTACAGAGTGTAGTATAAGATACTTCCTTTGAAAAATGTAGGGATTGTAACTAGGGAGGCCAGAAGAGCTTGAGAGAGAGTACTCTTTGTTCACTGAACTTGAAGGAGTCCAAAGAAGGAAAGAATTGAGTTTGTTCTTTTTATTGCTTTCTTAGAGGAAAGCTACAGTTTTCTTCTTGTGCTCTATAACCAGTTCTGTAGAGTAGCATGCAAGCAAGGAATCTGAATTTTCCAGTATGTCTACCAAACATCTTTGTATCATTGTTTGGTGTTCCCCTCGTGTTGTACATCTGAGGAAGAATATGAGAAATCCCTGCACTGCATCTTACAGGTTTTTTTGCTCTCTGTGTAGAATTGCTACACAAACCAAAAGAGATACATAGCATGAATATTAAGTTGTAGGGGAAGCAATTTTTGCATGATTACTTTACAGTTATTGGAATTAAAACTCTTTATATTCCCTTGATAGCAGTCTTATCTGACTCAAAGTCATGTAGACACAGGATCAGCAAGTAAATATTGTTCTTATCTTGAGTATATTATCTTTAGCATATTATTGACAGTAGCTAATCATCTTAATATTATATTTGTTGTTTTGTTTTCCTCATATATTCCTCAGTAGATAATTATCTTCCTAAAATAATGAGTGTACTTTACAAAGAAATAACTGTATTTTCTGGATTTAGTAATCCCGTTATGCTTTCCTAGGAGAAAGTGACTTATTTTGTTTCTTAGGTTTTATAATCCTTTGATACAGACCCTTCTCAGTTTGCACCATCCCCTCACCATTGCTAACTAATGTTCTAGAGATTTGTGGTTTATAGGCCACTTTTATAAATGGTATCCCACTTAATTCTTATGAGTCTGTAGGGTAGAGATTCATCAGTTTATCAAACATTAATTAAAGATACCTATTATGTGTTAGGTTCTAGGCATTTAGAGGTGAATAAGATGCTTTTTACCCTCAAGAAGTTCCCAGGGAGGTAGATTAGTAAGCAAATACAATTGCAAATACAGTGAAGTAAATATTAGAGCCCTAGGAATTTGGCTGGTATGAGTATAAATTTGGGAGTGAGTTAAGGAAGGGCTTATTAAGGTGGAGGTTCTTAAGCTTGGTATTGAAAAATGTGTAGAGCAAAGAATAGAAGTGTTGTCCTGTCAGGGGAGAGGACCAGTTGTGTAATGGCCCAGAGTTATGAAATTGCATGGCAAGAGCCTACGTGGGCACTTAAGTTGTTCATTTTGACTTGAGTTGTGTAGAGAATCTATAGAAGAGGAAGTTGGGGAGGAAGCGAGGGTCCAGAAAATGGATTTCTTTATCTCTCATGGGAAAGGTGGTTTTTTATCTTGTAGATAGTACAGAGCCATTGAAATGTAGTCAGGGAAGCAGTATAATCAGGTTTTTAGTTTGGAATCACTCTAGCAGATAAAACGATTTATACCATCATTATTGTTATTCCCTTTTGTCATCTCTAGGGAAGGCTTTATCCAGGTCCATGTATTTAATAAAGCATGGTAGGGGAAGGCAAACATTTAACACCCACCAAGACTTTCTTTTATAATAAGGAGGAGATTTTCCAGGACAATTGACACGAACTTTTCTGGATTTGGAGGTAACAGAAAGTTTATTGAAACCACTGAAAGTGACCTGTGATCAACGAGAGTGAAGGGTAGTAGTAAAAGAATGAAAAGACTTCAAATGTCATGAGTTTCAGGAAGTTCTATAATAATCTCTAGCTTGGTTGGCACTCCTTAGCTGAAAAGAACCTAAAGCTCTAGTGAGATTTAAAGTCAGATGGAAAAGGCATTATAAAACCCAGGGTCATGGAATAGTAAAGCTATAATGGGCCTACGTATGTGGTGTTGTATCAGGTGAAGATTGATGTTGGGTAGTTTGGGTAGAAGCTGAATTCCCAATAAAGCAACATATGATACACTTGTTTAAAGAGGATCTGTAATTTTTATACAGTGTCTTGTAAAATACATGTGAGTTTGGTGCTTGGAGAATTCTTAGAAGATGTTTTGTTTAGTAGTGGCTTTTGCTGAGTTCCTTGTCACCTGTATGTAGGGTTGAGTGAGTCTCATCCACTCACCAAAAGTGCCAGTGAAAAATTGAGATTTTCAATCTTTGCTAGGAAACAAAAAAAAAACACCCATAAATGATAACATTTTCAGCTTTTCCTCCCTCAGCCATATCATAATCTTCAAGTTCCCTTTGTTTTGTCATGTCACTTTTATAAATGGCTTACTTACTCCTGGATAAAAATTTCCCACCACCGAAGGCCAGCTCTTTTTACCTTTGCCATTGTTGTTGTGTTTCTTAGGGTGACATGTTTTATCCTAGAATACGAGTATTTTTAGGAATGTATATATATAGATGAGTAAACCCTAAAGAATTTCTACTATGTTTCATAACTTAATAGAATGAGGCTTTTCTATTCTAGGGGCAATTTTTCATCTGGGGGCAGTTTTGCCTCTTAGGAGGGCATTTGGCAACTGACTTGACGGAGACATTTTTTTTTTTCAGTTCATTGTTTTTATTGTGACTGTTTAAGTATGTACTCCCAAACAACATAGTTTACTTGTCTTTAAACTGAAGTATAAATCCTTTTCTCTTCAACTCCATTTACAATCAGATTTTATCTCTATTACTCCACTGAAATTGCTTGGGCAAAGGAATGGAGACATTTTTGATTGTCAAGGTTGGGAGTGGGTAGATATCTATTGGTAGAGGGAAGAGATACTTCTAAACATCCTACAGCGCATAGGATAGCCCCCAAAACAAAGAATTACCCGATCCCAAATGTCAGTAGTGCCAAGGTTGAAAAACCTTACTCTAGGTATATGCTTTGTAACTAATAAAATTACTTTTCATTTCAGAGTTTTGAAGCACCGTGTTCTTCAGTGTCACTTGAAAGTACTCAAGATACAGATCAAGAGGTTACTGAGATATTTATTTACTTTGAATATTTTTAATGAAATTAAGTCAAAGTGTTCCTATTTCAATAAAATATAATGAGTATAAAAACCTTGATAGTATGAAAATAACAGTGATGTCACTGCCTAATTCAATACGTAAGTTTTTATGAAGCCATGAAAAACTGTTTGGGGAAGTATTTACATTTACTTTATCACCTTTTGGGCTTTTTTTCTAATAACCTCTAATCTGTTTTGACAGAGTATCTTTTTTTAAATTAACTAATTTATTTATTTATTTATTTTTGGCTGTGTTGGGTCTTCGTTTCTGTGTGAGGGCTTTCTCTAGTTACGGCGAGCGGGGGCCACTCTTCATTGTGGTGCGCGGGCCTCTTGCTGTCGTGGCCTCTCTTGTTGCGGAGCACAGGCTCCAGGTGCGCAGGCTCAGTAGTTGTGGCTCATGGGCCCACTTGCTCCATGGCATGTGGCATCTTCCCAGACCAGGGCTTGAACCCGTGTCCCCTGCATTGGCAGGCAGATTCTCAACCACTGCGCCACCAGGGAAGCCCCTGTAATCTGTTTTGAATAAAGAGCATGGAGCCTGTGGCCCACAAGTTACGTGAATTTTAAAGTAATGTTATGTTTTTGCATGCTTATGCCTTGGCTTGCCAAAATGCAGTATGATATTAGCATGTTTTGCCTCATTTTTCTAATTAGCAACAAGATGAACATTTCTTCAATGAAAATGAGGGCACATACATTTATTTTTTACCTGTTGCTTCATTTCTCAGCTAGAATCTCCTGGTTGAACCTCATAGAATTATTGCGTACAATTTTATCTTCCCTGCTTCTAAATTAAAATTAGATTCATAGAACACTTTGTGTTTTTCTATTTAAAGGAGACTTTAAAACCATACTGATTGCTTTTTATTTGTGACAGTCAGTTATACTTTTATGTCTTTTGGGTCAATGCCCCTTGAGAGAAGAAAGATTTCTCACCTCTGCTCTAAAGTTAGATTATACTTTAATTTCTTTGCATCAGAATACATCAGGGAACTACTTCCCTGAAGTGGGAAGGGTATTAAGATCTGTATTTCAGTTTTTGATGGTTCATAAACAATCTTAGAAATCTTAGGAAAAGTGCTCATCATCCAGATATAAACATATTTGGCTCCTAAAATACTTTGAAGTGAGAATGGGGATGAGAATTAACTTGTTTTGGAAGTCTGTTTTGTACTAGGCTCTGTGTGAGGTTCTTCACATTACTTCATTTAATCCTTACAAAAAATACTAAAAGGATACAGATATTTAATATTCCTACTGTGTAGATAAACTGAGACCCATGGTTGTTAAATAATATGCTTGCCTAAGGTTGCAGAAATAATAAAGTAAGAAGAGAAGAGCTATATTAGGAACATTGTGTATGTTTATAAATCTGTATTCTTTTATCATGTGGCTTTCATATTTTTGTAAATATTTTTCTTCACAAACTATCTCATATTAAGTGAATTAATTAAGAATTAATTGCTTTTTTCTCTTACTAGTCTGCAGAGAAAATAATTCAAAATATTTTATGTGGGTCTTTTGCAATTTAGATGCAGATTGTAGAAGAGCTTCACGCTGCACGTGTGGGAAAAAGTGTGGATTTACCTGTGGTTCCACCTTCTGGAGAGTTAACAAGTATGGAGATTGACTTGGTGGAAGATGATGTACATTCCTCTTCTGGTATATCCTATATGCATATGACTGTTTTATGATTTCCTATGTTTTCTTAAGAATTAATGTGCCGACATTCAATTTTTATAATATTTAGAGGAAAAATGTTAAAATGTGCTTATTTGAAATAATAAAGTATATTTCTTTTAGCTACAGGAATCAGGTCTAAGGTTTGTCTTATCATCATTTGCTTTATATATCTCATATTATTAGGCAGTTAGACATATTTTCTCTTTCTCCTTTTGCCAAGGGGCAGTAATCAGAGTTATGAGCTGTCTTTTATTTTTGCTCTTAATCATAACTTTTAACAATTTCAGCTTTGTAAAGCACTGATCAGAAATAATGCAAATTGCTCAAAGGTATTATATTCATGGATTTCTTATTTATATAGTAGAATTGTGATTATTCTCACTCCTTGGAGAAGATAATGATAGGTGTTACCCAAAATATGTTAGTATACTGTTTTGAATTGTATTTGTAAAAATAGTAATGCTATGTTACATTCACATTGCATTTTTCAATTTATTAAGTGTTTTCCTATGCATCAACTTATCTGTTCCTCACATGACCCTATGAAATAACAGTGCTAGTATTATCTTTTTTCTTTCATTTACACATATTTGTTTTTTCAGTTATATTTCAGAATACATTAAAATTAGCTTATGATTCATAAGTATGTAACTACCAGTGATAAGAGTACAGGGTTTGGCAACATAGTTACTGCTGGTGCAAGTTAATTTATGATTTAAAATCCACCCGTAAGCAATATACAATATTCTATTGGTGGATAATTAAACACTGATTACTGTTCTTTCTCTTAAGAATTGGAGTAAATGCATTTTTGTTTTTATTGTCTAAAGTACTGCCTTAAGAATGCTGTCAAAGTTCTGTGATATCAAAATTGTAGTTATTATGCAAGTCTGTTATCAAATGTCATGAAATCCTCACTTTGCTCTTTTTCTCTAGCAAATACTGCTTCAGACAAAAAACTTTTAATTGTTGTTGACACAAATATACTGATGAATCATCTCAAATTTGTTAGAATTTTGAAGACAACAGAAATCTCAGGTATTTATAGAACATATTTACCAATTCTGATTTTCTTATTTGAGTTGATACTTTATATTAACAGTGATGTGGGTTTTTCCCCCCCACAAACTTATTTCCATTTGGATATGTTATTAAGTACGTGTGTGTATATATATATGAAGCATAATCAACTTAAGTTAAAAAAAAAAAAGCCTTTACAGGTTAACCTAGCTTCTAAACTTACTCTTTTGTGATTTCCAGTAGTATTTATTTTTGTAACATTCTCTTGACACTTATATCTGATTTTAGTTCCTATTTTTATCTATTATCTCTTCATTTAGATTGTGAATTTCTTTAAAACTTTTAATTCTCCTATAGCAGTTTGATTTAGTTGCTCAATACATATTTGTTGACATCTAAGAAATCTTTTTATTTTTTAGGCTTTGACAGGCTTGTGTTAATAATTCCCTGGGTTGTTGTGCAAGAGCTGGATCGTATGAAGGCAGGAAAATTACTGAAACATGCCCAGCACAAAGCTATACCTGCAGTTCATTTCATCAATGACAGTCTCAAAAATCAAGATAGGAAGCTATGGGGTCAGTCAATACAACTTGCATCTCAAAAACTTTGTAAGTATTGTTCTCTCAAGGTGCTTCTTGATTAAGATTTGTTTGGATGCTGACTCATTAATGAAGGGAAATGGTGCAGAACTTTAAAAAAAATTAACAGTATTACAGTGTGAAATGGCAGGGCATAGTGATGCTTTGGCATATTCTGTTAGGCTTGGTTTGGAGGCCTTTGATTTTTATTTTTCTACTTCTCCTAGACCTTCTTAGGTTATGTCCATATTTCACAGAGAGTGACTGTATAGTTCTGTATGCATAGTTGTCTATATTACAGTACTTTGGATTCTTTTTTTAAAATACCATGTTGAGTGATGAGGCCACTAAGTGATCTGTGTTTCTGATCATCACTGCATGCAGTTAATATAATGCAGAGGCAGGCATTGTTTTCCTCTGGTTTGTCAGAACCTGTAATAAGGAGGTATTTTTATTATAGAGGTCTATAGATTTTCTCCTGATTTTTTTCCATATTAGTTTATTTTTTAGTCATTTAAAAATCTTAGAACCTAAGTATGTTCTTCATGTTTTTTTTTTTTATACAAATTTTTTAAAATTAATTAATTTATTTATAGCTGTGTTGGGTCTTCGTTTCTGTGCAAGGGCTTTCTCTAGTTGTGACAAGCGGGGGTCACTCTTCATCACACACGCAGGCTCAGTAATTCTGGCTCACAGGCCCAGTTGCTCCGCGGCATGTGGGATCCTCCCAGACCAGGGCCCAAACCTGCATCCCCTGCATCGGCAGGCGGACTCTCAACCACTGTGCCACCAGGGAAGCCCCCATGTTTTTATTTTATTTTTTAATTTTTTTTAACATCTTTATTGGAGTATAATTGCTTTACAATGGTGTGCTAGTTTCTGCTTTCTAACAAAGTGAATCAGCTATACATATACATATATCCCCATATCTCCTCCCACTTGTGTTTCCCTCCCACCCTCCCTATCCCACCCCTTGTTCTTCATGTTTTATATAACTATTTGGAAAAAGATCTGTGTGTAAAGCAACACTGTTGCCTCTGCAGAGTTTATACATACATTTAGAGGATATATTTCATTCTTTAAAAATTGGTTTCTTTCCAACTCAGAAATATTTGTATATGTAGATTTATCTTATTTTAAATATGGATTTATGTTGTTTACTGTATCCATATTTACTATAGGATATGAAATAATTCATCTTTAGATGAATCTAATCATGAAATTAACCCTGAGAAGGCTTTTGGCACAGCTGTTTAGTCTTAAATCTGTGAAGAAAAAGGGCCTTTCCCATTAATTTCTTTATTTATTCTCTTTACAAATATTTAATAGCTCTTAGTATATTCCAAATACAATGCTTATGCATTTTGAATAGGAAGATCATGTGCTGTTTAAGAGCTTTTAAAGGAAACCACTAAAAAAAAATCACTTATTAGAGTTAAGAAAATATTAAAAATATTAAAATTAAAAACACATTATATTAAATTGAACACCTTAGATGGTCTTTTTTTTTTTTTTTTTACTTTCCGTTATGAAAACTTTCAAATGCAGTATAATATAATATAATATAATAATGAATCCCTATGTACCTCTCACTCATTTTCAGTGATTCTCAACATTTTGTCATTCTTGTTCTCTCATTTCCTTTTCCCCTTCTCCCCCAACTCCTGGAACTCCTGTAGTACTTTGGTATGTATTGCTAACAGATAGGACTTTTTTTTTGCAATACGTGGGCCTCTCACTGTTGTGGCCTCTCCCCTTGCCGGACGCACAAGCTCAGCGGCCATGGCAACCACTGCGCCACCGGGGAGGCCCTTTTTTTTTTTTTTTTTTGCAGGACTTTTTAAAAAAACAGCCATGCAGTTAACAAAACCTCTAATCTAAACCATCATTTCAGTAAAACCCCGATCCTTAAGAAGAGGTGGGAACTTTTTTTTACTCTTAATCTTTTATTGTTTTTCTTTGTTAGTTGATACAAATTGTGTTTTATTATATAATTATATAGATGATGATAATAATAGACAACACTTACATGGCCATTACTCTCCAGACCTTTTTCTAAGTGCTTTACAGCTAATATCTCATTCAAACCTTATAGTACTTGTGGAAGATAAATTCTTATTAGATCCATTTTATTGATGAGGAAATTGAGACATAGAGATGTTAAGAACTTGTCCTAAGTGGAATATCTATCCCTTCAATAGATTGACTTTGAGACTTATTTTAGAAGAGCTAATTTTAGAATAGATATTTTGGCCACATTTATTATTTATAGATGCTTGTTATGTTTCTTTTGATTTTTCCATTTTTATGTGCTTTTTTGATACTTTGACTTCTTCAGTCTATGCTTTTTGGGTTATTAAGGAGGATAAATCATAGTAGTGGTCTCAAACTTGTGTGCTGCTTCAATTTCTGGGTCTTCCTTGATATCCACATTTCACTTTAAAGCTTAAATTGGTATTATTTGATCTTTGTTTTGTTAAATTGCGCTTTTAGTTATAAGGTTGTAGATAGATTATTTGTGTAATTGTCTGTGTCAGATAAATCCTTTATGTGTTTCACTGTATCATTGTTATCTGTCAAACTGATTATTTAAAACATTCTTTATATAAAATCTAATGTACTCAATACATTTATTCTGTTGATAGTGGTTTTATGATATCCTTTAGAAATATCAGTCATTTTTATCATAATAAAATTATATTTTATATTCTAATGGTAAATTGAAATTCTTATGAAAAAACTTAATTCAGGCTTATTGAGTGAAATTAAAGTACTTGCTTGGAGAAAAGCAAGAACAAAACAGTCTTTACACTTTACATCTGTCGAGCACATTTGCCACTAACTCTAATAATTGCTTATCTTGCTGTATTATTTTCTTTTATGTAATCACAGTATTATAACAATGTATTTTTTTAGACAAGCATTTTCCATTAAAAAAAAGAAAAATGCCACAAATTGAATGCAGATAGTCCATGTTAAAATAGCCTTAGTTGACCATAGTTTTAGTGTTGTCCTTACTCTTTTCAAAATTGTGTTTATTTGATGTAGTATGCATTATGGTGAGAAGAGAATAGGATTTGAAATGTGATTGACCTGGGTTTATAAGCTGACCTAGGGAAAGTTAAAGGTGAGGAAACTGAGTAAATGAAATGGAGGGAAATGACCTCCCCCTGAAAAAAATGGTTGTGAAGATTGGTTGAGCTAATATATTACTTAATGATTTATGGTCTGGAATAGGCGATAATTCTTTTGCGTCCTTTTACATGAGAAGGTTATACAGATTGATTAGAAAAACTAAAAATCCCTTTCCCCTAAATGGACATAGATTATTAATAGGTAATTCACAAAAGAAGAAGTACAACTAGTTGGTCCTTTGTTCAAGGCAAATATTTTCCTGTTTGCTATTTTTAATATTGTTAATTTCTTATGTATAAAGTTTTAGTTTATATCTTTCACTTTTTCCTTTTTTTTTTAAATTGCTTCTATGTTTAGTAAGCTACTCCTTCCCAGCACTTGATAGGAACACAGTGCTCAGTGCATTGGGAATATAAGTTAGTAACTTTTCAGGAGAGCAATTTATTAGTGTGTATTAAGAAGCCAAAAGAGATGGTTCTCTTTCTAGAAATTATTTTAAAGAAATAATCAGAGATGCTCACAGTGATTTATATAAATAATGTTCATCACAGCATGATTTATGCAGCAAAAAAATTGGAAACAATCTAACATTTGGAGAAGTTACGTATAATGATGTAGTCATATGAGAGAATATTGTATTTTGAAAAATGTTAATGACGTGTGATATTAAAATAAGATTTAAAAGAATATAAAGTGCAATCCCAAATTTCTTAGATTATGCATGTATACTTATAGATGGTGGATATTGGTAATATTGAGCTGATGGAATTATGAGTTATTTTAATTTTCTTAATATTTGCTGAATTTTCCAGATTTTCTATAATTATTTTATTTTTATAATTAGGTAAAAATAATTAAAAGCAAAAATAAAGTTATCTGACACCTCCCACATGAGACATTTATTCCATCATTTTTATATTTTCTTTTATTATATTTTTGTTGAATCAAATATTTGTACCAGACACTTCTAAGTGTTGAGGCTGCAGCAGTGAATGAGACATACAAGGCCTGCTGTTGAGAAGCTTTAATTCTATTAAATGTTAAAAATCATATTAACTCTCATTTATACAGAATTAATTTGGTGTTGTGAGTAGAGGTTGTTGCTGTTGAAGTGCCATTTAAGCTGAGTCTTAAGTAATAAATGTATGCTACTTAAGGAACACATGATACAGGCATATATTGGGCCAAGTGTTTCATATAAATTTTCTCATTTAATCATCCTGTTAAGCAGTTTGTCCATTATTACATGTCCAGTATGTGGGAAAGCAGGGATTCAAACCCAGATCAGTCTGTTTTCAGAGTCCGTTTTGTTCACGTTTGAATAGTACCTGAGCAGGTGCTCAAAAATATTTGTTGATAAAATATTTCATGAATATTCTTGTAGTTTTAGGTATATCTTCCAGGCCCATGTGTCCTAGAAAAAATGACAGAACAGGTAATCTTGAACTTTGGTACCTTTAGAGCATGTACTGTAGCCTTTAAACATCCTTCTTTTGGTCAAATTGAGTTACTAAAGTTAACCAGTGATTTTGAGCTGCCCATTTTGCATTATTGTGGTATTTACTCTCTGAGCTAAAAGAAGGAAAATTGATTGCTATACTATGTCTGGCTGGCTGGCTGGTTGTCGGATTAAAGAACTGAATCACATCTCCCTAAGGCTCATGCTGTAAGATCAGTTGAGTTCTGTCTAGATTTCACCACGAGATTGTGAGACCCCTAAAAGCTTGTCTTTTGAATGTCCAATTACCTAGCCTAGGCACCTGGTGCAAATTAGACCCTATATAAATATTTATTGAATGCATGAATGAATTTTCTAATTTGAAAGTTTAGAGGACTAAGTAACTGTAGGCTAAAAGTTGAGGGGAAAAAAGGTTATAATCTGGGAACAAAGTTGAGTCTCACTGTCCATTACATCTTGAATTTCAGTGTGTAAGAGAGTTGCCAAAGGCTTAAATCAATCTTTGGGTCCAGGCTCCAAAGATTCTTTTCCAGAAATGGGTCTGGGTAAGTACCCCAGGGAGTTCTGAGGCAAGTAGTGTAAGGACTTATAAGAAATGCTGTCCTTGGTCCTATTCCTACACATTACATTATTTTCACAAAAAACCAAACTTACTACATGCTTTAAGGCTTGGAGAATGCTAGAGGACACTCTGTCAGCCACATATTAGCATTTGTTAGAAGTTACTTTTTGTATTCTCTGCCTAGCGCCTTTGTTGCCTTCTCCTATACATCTCTCTCTAAACGTTATTGCTTAGAGTTTAAGACAAAGCAGACACATGAAAGTGGTTCTGTTGTTGGCAGAACAGTTGCTTATAATTTTACAGACCTCTTTTAAGCTGTTGATTTTAAGCATGATGTAATCATATAATTTACTTTTGTTAAGTCAATAAGTGACTGAACTGAGACTAGATTCGTAGCTTTTGGTTTCTAATATGGCATTTAACCTACTGATCAGATTTTTTCCGTTGGATTTATTAATAGGCATATCCTATTCCATTTTACTGATAGTAGCAAACTAATCAGTTTATTAAACCCACATCTATATGCTGCCTGAATTCTAGATACAGAATTTTCAAGGCATTGTTTTTGTTGTGTCTTATCTTCCTCTTATTTAAAAAGTTTTCTTTCTTTCAGATGATTTGATTTGTAAATATGGCCTAGATTATTCATACAGTTCACAGATTTTTAGTGTGCTTATTGATTGTTGCTTTTACTAAATTTGCAGATGGATTGAGCGATGAGAACAATGATGATCGTGTATTAAAATGCTGTCTTCAGTACCAAGAATTATTCCCTTGTTCTCTTGTTATTTTGTGCACGTGAGTTTCATTATCATTTTACTCTTTTTTTAAAAATAGTGACTTATATTAAAGAATTTTTAAAAATCATACTGTCCCCCATACCAAGATGAAAAACATACATACTTTTCTAAATCTGCCAGTAAGTATATTCATTTATATCTCACATTCTTATAATGTGCAAGCTATAGAAGAATGAGATTTGAATCTCATGGTTTCATTTCAACTTAAGTTATTTGATATTTAGAAAACTTTTGAAAAAGCAGGGAAAGTCAATTTAACATCCCCAAAAAATAGAAATAAAAATCTGACATTTTTGGTCATGAGGCAGGAGAGTTAATTAACTAATTAATTAATTTGTGGAGAAGGGCTAAGTTTTGTTGCAGTTATATCCTTGATGCCTGTGATAGAGTTAGAGTTGGAATTTTGGATCTACCACTTAATCAGCTTTGTGACCTTGGAAGGTTGCTTAATGCTTCCTCATGTGTAAAATATAGGGAGGATAATAATACCTGCCTTTATAAGGTTATTGTGAGTATTTAGTCAGAAAAAATATATATATGACTTAGAAGAGTGCCTAGCACATAAAATTATCTCAATAAGCGTTTTTTCCTCCTCCTCCCTTCCTGATTCCATTCCTCCATTCCCAACTAATGTATTCATAACTTAGTTCTAAGGTAAAAGTATAATGTTAAGCAAAATTGTATTCATCATGTATGAGAAAAGGCTTTAAAGGAACTGATAAGAGCAATTTTAATTTGCAGTCTTAGTCTGAATTGTACTCACTGAAAAATGGGCTTTTTACAGTTTCGTGATCATGCCCAAGTTCTCTGAAATGGAGTGATTATAGAAATGAATAGCCATAAGATTTTTCTTGTAAGGGGGCTTGGTTAATTATCATTTTAGCTGTGTTCAAAGATAATGTTATTTTTTTATATTAAAGGAAATACTAGAGATTTCTATCTCTAGTTTCAAATTATTTTTTAATCTAGGACATAATATATCATGTTGGAGTTTGTTGAAGGCTGAAATAGAATTAATATGTTAATCATTTTGAATTTGTGATAAACTAAAATTGAGAGATAATTTTTATGTATTTGTTATTTTTTTAGTTCAACTTAGAATGAAAATTAAATTGGTGAGATTTTATCAGTTCTCCATTATTTCTGCAGTCACTGTTTTGGGATTAACAGATGTAACAGTTTTCAGTGAAATGAAAATTCGTAGTCAGACTTTACTTTTAACTGGCATCATCAGGCAAGCCTGTTTTTTATTTTTATTTTTTCCTATAAAGTGTGATAATCATACTGTGTTAAGTCACACATACTTAATGTGAGGATACATTTATATTACTTAAATGGATGATGATTATAATAATTAATATTAATAACAACAGTGACTAGGAGAACCCTTCTATAAACACTATATACTATACCTCATTCTAAGTGCTTTACTCATATTTACAATCCTAAATATGGGCCAGGAACCCCCAGTTAATATCTCCAGTCCACATCTCTCTTCTAAAGTCTCAACTAGTATATTCATCTACTTATTTGATATCTCTGTTTGGATGTCTCATAGACATCTGGGACCTACCATCTCCAAAAATGAACTCCTGATCTTTCCTTCTTAACTGTTCTCCATCTGAATAAAAAGTGCCATCTTCTACCCATTTGCTAAAGCCAGAAACCTAGGAGTCATTTTTGATTCCTGCCTTTCCTTCGTAATCTATATCCAGTTAAATAGTAGGTCTTGTATGGTCTTCTTTTCTTTGTCTACTCTGCCACCATCCGATGTCAAGTGATGTTATTTTTCCTGTTCCTTTTCTGCTCTAAGACCCATTATGCTCTCTACTTCAATACTTACTTTCCATTTATTTTTCAAAAAGTAATAATGGTATTTTTAATTTTTAACAAGTTTCGTTATGAAGAATTTCAACAACTTTCAAAATGAAGAAGAGCTAATAAACTCCTAAATACTCAGTTACAACAATTATCAAGATTCTACCATTCTTCTATTATCTATATTTCTGTCCCCCATATGATTATTTTTATACAGTTCTTTTTATTTTAAGGGAAAATGTATAATATTAAAATGCCCAAATCTTAACTATACAGTGTTGACAGTGGATACCCTGGTGTAACCCACATCTCTCTTGATACATAGAATATTTCCATTACCCCAAAAAATACTCTCATGCCCCTTTTGTGCTCTTTTCCTAGTTTCTTAAGGTGGACGCTTAGATCATTTTTTGAGACTGCTGTAAATTTCTCTTTAAGCACTGCTTTAGCTGCATTCCACAAATTTTGATATGTTGTGTTTTTATTTTCATTCAATTTAATATATTTTATAATTTTCAGGGATTTCCTGGCAGTCCAGTGGTTAGGACTCAATGCTTTCACTGCCAGGGCCCTGGTTTGGATTCGATCTCTGGTTGGGGAACTAAGATCCTGGAGCCATACGGCGTGGCCAAAAAAAAAAAAAATTATAATTTTCCTTATAATTTCCTTTTTGACCCATAAGTTATTTAGATATTTGTTACAATTAATTCCAAATATTTTCAAAATTTCCAGTTTTTTGTTATTGATTTGCACTTTAATTCTGTTATGGCTTGAGAACATAATTTATATGATTTCTATTCTTTTAAATTTGTTAAACTTTGTTTTATGACCAAGAATAAGGTCTAACTTGGTGAATATTTTATGTGCACTTAAGAAGAATGTATTCAGCTCTTGTGGGTAGAGTATTCCATAAATTTTAAATAGGTCAATTTTATTGATAGTGTTGTTCATGTCTTCTATAACCTTACTAATTATCTGTCTACTTGTTCTATGATTACTGAGAGAGGAGTATTGAAATTCCCAACTGTAATTGTGGATTTGTTTACTTCTCCTTTCTGTTCTCTTTGTTTTATTTCATGTATTATGAAGCTCTGTAGTCAGAGGCATACACATTTAGGATTGTCTTCTTGGTGAATTGACACCTTTCTCATTATACAGTGTCTCACTTTGTTACTGATAATATTCCTGGTTCTGAAGTTTCCTTTGTTTAGTATTAATATTACTACTCCAGTTTTGTTTGCTTAATATTTATATTGTATATCTTTTTCATCCATATACTTTTAACCTATCTGTGTTTTTATATTAAAGTAAGTATTTTGTGGATAGCATGTAGTTGGTACTTTTCTTTTTTTCCATTCTGACAATTTCTGTCTTTTTAATTGATGAGTTTCTACTATTCACAGTTAATTGGTTGGATCAGAATCTACCATTTTGCTAATTATTTTCTATTTGTTCAGCTATTCTTTTCTTCCTTTTCCTTTTTTTTTGCTTGGATTAATTGTGGTGCCATTTTATCTCCATTATTGGCTTTATACCTTTTTGAAAAAACTTTTTTTTTTTTTTTTTTTTTTTTTTTTTTTTCCTTGCGTTATGCCGGCCTCTCACTGTTGTGGCCTCTCCCATTTGCGGAGCACAGGCTCCGGACGCGCAGGCTCAGCAGCCATGGCTCACGGGCCCAGCCGCTCCGCGGCATGTGGGATCTTCCCGAAACGGGGCACGAACCCGCGTCTCCTGCATCGGCAAGAAGCCCTGAAAACTTTTTAATGGTTACTTCAGTGTTTATAATATACAGCTTTACTTGATCAAAGTCTACCTTTAAATAATATTATATTGCTTCATGTATATTGTAAGGATTTTAATATGCTTCATATTTCTCCCCTTCCGTTTTTGCTATCGTAGTCATATATATAGCCTTTACAGAAACAATAAACACAATACTTTGCTAATATTTTTGCTTCAGCCATTTACCATCTAAAGCAATTTAAAATAAAGTGAATATTTTAATCTTGCATTCCATTTTTAGCACTCTTCATTTCTTTTTTTGGATACAAGTTTCTGTCTGGTGTCAGATTTCTGGTCATATTCATTTTGCCCAAACAACTTTCTTTGACATGTTAAATCTGTTGGCAGAGAATTTTCTGGTTTTATTTGTCTGATAGTGTATTTATTTATTTATTTTTGAAAGATATTTTTACTAGATGTACAATTCTGGGTTGATTTTTTTTTTTTTCTTCTGGTATTTTAAAGGTGTCACTCCATTTTCTTCTAGCTTGTTTGGTTTCTGATGAGAAGTCTGCTGTAAATGTTGTCTTTTTCCTCTGTGTGTAATGTGTCTTTTTTCCCCTCTCATTGCTTTCAAGACTTTGTCTTTTGTTTTTTTAGCAGTTTGTTTTAGCAGTCTTTAGCAGTTATGGCCAGTTGTTTGTGTGTATGTTTGTGGTAGAGGAGAGGAAATTATCCTGCTTGATATTCTCTGAGCTTCTTGGATCTATGGTTTGGTGTTCATTTTAGTTTTGGAAAATTCTCAGCCAAATATTTCTTCAGATATTTCTTCTGCCCCATTCCTTCTTTTCTCCTTCTGGTATTACAGAATTACATTGTAGTAGTCAGCATCCATGATGACTCCAGTGATCCCTGCCTCTTAGTATTTTTTGTTTGTTTGTTTTTGTTTTTTCTTTTTTTCTTTTCTTTTTTTTTTTTGGCTGCGCTGCATTGTGAGATCTTACTTAGTTTCCTGACCAGGGATGGAACCCAGGCCCCCTACAGTGGAAGTGCAGAGTCCTAACCACTGGACTTCCACGGAATTCCCTGTGCCTCTTAGTATTAATGCCCTTGTGTAGTCCTTTCCTACATTGTACCAGGAATGGTTGTCTGTGTGACAGATAGCATGCATCAGAAGCGATGATATGTCACTTCTTAGATTAGGTTATAAAAGACTGGGAATTCCTTCTTGGGCACTCTTGTTTCTTCCATCTCTCTTGGATCACTTGTTGTGCAGAAGCAAGTTGCATGCTGTGAGGAGCCCTGTGGAGAGGCCCACATGCTGAGAAACTGAAGCCTCCAGACAAAAGCCAGTGAAGGGCTACTCCCTGCCTATAGCCACATGAATGAGCAGCAATTAAATCTTGAGATGACTGCAACCCCAGGCAATAGCACGCTTCACCTTTGTGAGATACCTTGAGCCAGAACCATTCAGTCAAGCTACTCTCAGATCCCTGACTCTTAGAAGCTGTGTGAGATAATAAATGTTTTTTCAAGCTGTTAAATTTGGGGGATTAATTGTTACACAGCAGTAGACAACTAATACATGCATGTATATTGGACCATTTGATATTGTCCAACAGCTCTTATGTATTTTTTTAACCTTTTATTCTCTTCTTGTTTCAGTTTGGATAATTTCTTTTGACCTGTCTTAATGTATGTTGTTTCTTTCCTCACTTGTGTTGAGTCTGTTGAGGAGCCTGCTGAAGGCATTCTTCATTTCCATCTGGTTTTACATGCTATTCACCTTTTTCATTAGAGCCTCTAACAGATTAATCAAAATTATTTAAAATTTCCTATCATATAGCTTCAACATCTGTGTCATGTCTGAGTCTGGTTCTGTTGATTGCTTTGTCTTTTGGCAGTATGTTGCTTTTTTTTCTGGGCAGAATTTATATGCAGATTTTATGACTCACCTTCTCTGTGGTTTCCTCCCTTCTTCAGGTTCCACCTTAACTTTCTGTATGCTCTGGCCAGTCCTGAACAGTGCCTTCTGACATTTCAAGCCATAAAGACTGTGGCTTTCTGTTGTAAGGCATTGATGAATTAGGGAATACCCTCAGGCAAAAAGGTAGAAAATTGTAGCTCTTACCAGTGCAGCATCTGCTTCTTGAATGTAGATTCCCCTCCACCTTCTGCCTACATTTGATTGCCTTCTAGTGCCTTCAAATAGGGTTTTTTGGGATTGTCTTTTTTTGTTGCTTTTGGTCCAGATTTTCTAATTCTTGTTGTGGGAGGGTTAGTCTGACCAAGCTACTCTGCCATTAACAAAAGCTGGAAGCCTACTAGATGCAAGAACAACAGTTTGGTAAACACAGATCTGATCATGTCATTTCCCCATTGAAGCCCTTAAATCTCTTTCCATTTATTAATGTTCTTGCCTTTCTCTGTAGCCACGTAAACTGGTCTCATGCACTATGCTCTAATCATACTGGCTCTTTCAGCAAATAGCAAATTCACATCATTTGTCTTATGCTCACTCTAAGGAAATTTATAATTGCTTACCCTGTGTAAATTATTTATCTTATTATGGCTCTCTGTGTTTATCTTGGGATGATCATATTCTTGTGTTCAAGTCCATCTCCCACTTACTGGGTATAACTTTGGACAAGTTACTTAACCTTTTTATACCTCAGTTTCTTTTTTTTTTTTTTTTTTTGGCCATGCCACATGGCTTATGGGATCTTGGTTCCCCGACCAGGGATTGAACCCAGGCCCTCAGCAGTGAAAGCGTGGAGTCCTAACCAGTGGACCCCCAGGGACTTCACATACACCTCAGTTTCTTATGTGTGAAATGGGGATAAAAATAAGTACCACTCCTACCTAAGAGGTTTGTTGTGAGAATTAAATGGATTGATATATATATAAAGTGTTTAGAACAGTGCCTGGTACCTGGGAAACATTCAATATATAATAATAATAATTATTCTCAAAAGCTCAGATGATTTGATTCTAGTGTATATTTATTTATCTTCTATATTTAAAAAATTGTTATCATTTCTTAATATATATGCTGAGAATCACCAGCCTCTGATTAGATTCCATGTGTTTTTAGTTGCCATGTGATTTATCTTATAAAAAATAAAATATTTTTTCCTCCTAACCCAACCTTAGGGATGATAGAAATTTAAGAAACAAAGGCCTAATAAGTGGTGTGAAGTCACTCAGTAAAGAAGAATTGAGTGCAGAATTATTAAACTTATCTCTGAACACAGTTGTATGTCATCAGCCTTGTATATCTAAACAACAATTGAAAGCAGGTAGTATTCTTACTACAAATAATTAGAAATATATCATATTTTATATACTAAGAATATTGATAACAGTTGGAATTAATAGTAAATTTTTATTTTGTACATTGAAAATAACATTGTTTGGAGTATTTTCTGGCACAAATGGTAGAGATGAATGAATATTATAATGGTAATCCAAGAGAAAATATAACATTATTGCCTTCTACATATACTTTTACAAATTAATTTGAATTTTTGTCTGTACAGTCACATACATTTTTATATATTTATAATCAGTGTGTGCATCCTATTTTTTACCTCAGAGTATACCTTTTAAATTAATAGTAGCCACAGGAAATATTCATTTGAGGTAGAGAGAAATTTTTAGTTTATTTCAAAAATTAGTTCCATATTCATAACTTTCTATTAATACAGTAAAATCTCAGAAATAGAGAAACTTGAAGGACTCCAGTAATAATTTTTTTTTAATTTGAACGAATATTTAAGAAAGCTAAAGGCAATACTGCTGTTTTATCTCTTTTTTTCCACCAGAATAATCTGTTCTATCGCTTGATATTTGTTGAAATATATTAAATCTTACATAATTTAAAAATACATCCCTCCATTTCCCTCTGTGGGAAAAATAATTATTGAAGTCTCTAAAAGCATATGTATATGCTTCATGTATTCATATATCACATGCTACTTATTTGACCTTTATGGTAATAAAATTTCTTTTGTCATAATATTCAAAATGGCATTTAGAGGGAGTAACAGAATATTCTAGTATGTGGTTTTTCAAGGGAAACATGCGTTTGGTTTGCCCATTATATTACTGTCATTTTAAATCCTTGGTTTGTATTTGTAGAGATATGCCCCTTAATACATTGAATTTTGCCATAAAGTAATTGCAGTTGTTTGCAGGTGTCAAAGTAGTAATTATATTGAAATAATATCAATTAAAATAATCAAAACTTATTTTAGAAGGGGAAGGAATAAAAGTGGTTAAGTCAGAGCTTTTAGTCTTTTCAAAGCAATTTATTGATGTGAATTGCGATTGGAAGAATATATTATCTTTGGAAGAAAACACATTTTGATCCATAGTTCTTGGTTTTCTATTATAAATAGATGCAAGGCGTTATTTTAATTTTTACTTTTTTTGAAAATAATAAAATTTAAACTTTGGTTAAAATATCACACACATTTCTCAAATTTCTATTTTAGTAAAAACATTTCGTCTCCTTTTGTCAAAAGGTAAAGCTTTTGCTAATGTGATATATTTATGTTGAGTCTAAAATAACTATACTAGAAATAAATGTTTCTAAATAGTTTTATTTTTATTTTAAAAATTATTTATTTATTTATTTTTGGCTGTGCCGCATGGCTTGCGGGAGTTCCTCAACCACGGATTGAACCCCGGCCACAGCAAGTGAAAGCCTGGAATACTGACTGCTAGGCCACCAGGGAACTCCCATGAATACTGTTTCAAAAATAAAGTATTCATTTGTTTTTAGGATCGAATACTAATTATATCCATTAAATGTTTATTATTTATGGCCAAATACTAATTATATATGTAAAATATTTACTATTAGTGTCCTAAATAAAGCCTGTAACTATTTGTTTTAAAGAACCAACACCTTTAGAGAAGAGCTGTGAGGAGGAATCTACAAACTCTGGACTATGCATTCTACTTGAAAGCATTGTATCTGATCTCGAAAAATCTCTTGGAACAGCCTTATCTTCAATATTAGAAACAGAAATGAAAATTGCTTTTGGAAACCTTTGGATGGAGGTGATTATTTCAACTCTTAGTTGAAAATTTCCTTTTTATTGCTAAAGATTTATTCCCTTATTTTAAGAAATATTACTTATATAAGATGTGTAAGCTTTATTGTAATAATCTACATCACATTATATTTTTTTCTTGAAGTTTTTGGAATAACTCTGAACGCTAAGTGTTGGGCATTTCCTAAAGATTAGGACTATATTTTATCATTCATTTTTTTTGAATTTTCATTTTTATAGAGCAGGTTCTTATTAGTTACCTATTTTATACATATTAGTGTGTACATGTCAATCCCAATCACCCAATTCATACCACCACCACCCCCTCTTCCCCCCTTGGTGTCCATATGTTTGTTCTCTACATCTTCTCATTCATTTTTTTCAGTGAACAAATATTTATTGTGTGTCTACAGTGTATCAGACACATTGCCTCCATGGAACTTAAATTGAATTCAGAAAACCTCTCATTTTAAGTTTATTTGAGTCAAAATGTCTAGTATAGGGAATTACCTTAGCAATATGTTTTCAGAAAGAGAAGTTAAATGTTAGCTTATGTCATGTAAATATGAGAATCAGAGTATAAATTTGATATTAGTAAAATATTTTGAATTTTCTTTAGATTCACATCTTTTCTGCAATCAGTAAAACACCACATTTGGCAATAGTGGCCTTTTTAGTTTAATGTCTGTTTGCTATTCACATTTATCATTAGGAGAAACTTTGTTTGCCATCAATTGTATCTCTTCCAGATATTCAGTGAGGTTCTAATATTTGCCAGTGTGGCTTGATTATATTATCAAATCTTGAACCAAGATGATGAAGAATGATCAGATTCTTCTAGGAAGGTTGATGTAAATTAGATTTCATAATAGAGTCTAGGAAAGTCATTGCATATGAACGATTCAAAAAAGGATGTGCTGACATCTTTTAGTACTAAATGATCAATCTTCTTTGTAAACATGTCTTTACAAAAGTGTAGCAAGTGTCAATTATAGTTGACAATTTTTTTCTATATAGATTATTTTCCCTAGTTTTATGAAATAGATTGATTTCCTCATAGAATTGACCATGTTGAAAAGTAGATCGACAACTTTTGCTGATTAGAACTATGCTTCTTCTGATTAGAACTGTGTTTTTGCACACATAGTTTCTGAAGCTATAAGGATTAATACTAATATGAATTTTACAAAAGCAATTTGCAGTGGGATTAGCATTTTAAGATTGTGATTGGTGTTTAATAAAACATCTTTTAGTTTAAAAAGAATTCAACTATGTTTTGCCTGGAAATATATGTAGGAATTCCTAAATAGGTACTTTTAAATAATAGGAATAATAAGTAAATCAATGATGCTATTTTTTTCTAGGTGCTGTACTTGAAACCACCATGGACTCTAATACATTTATTACAGTGCTTTAGAAAACATTGGTTGGCTGTATTTGGATTAGTTGTGGAAAAGAACTTGCTTTTAACTGTTGAGAGCCTATATGAAAATCTCTCTAAAGGTTTGAATCTTTTATCTTGTCTTTGGAAATGTTGTATTAAAGTCAGACTAATAGATATACTCCATGGAATGTGAAGATGAATTAATAAGAGATTTGTCAATTAGTTCTTAACCATTTATACTTCTAATTTCTTAAGGAAATTTATGGCAGCTGGATGAATGGATGCAGTTCCTAGAGCTTGTAACTGTTAATTGTATCATTGTTGATGTTCCTGGATATTGTGAATATATAATTTTTAATAATGTTTGAAAACTTTTAAAAGTTTATTTAGGTATGCAAATAGAATTATGTGGATTTTTTTTCATTGCTCATCGTGTTTAACACACGAGCTTTTTTTTTTTTTTTTTTTTTTTTTTTT